TTTAGTGCATTATCTGACTGCTGAAAACTGTTGTTTATGTTGACTCAATGTAGAGAGGTTGTACAACAAGCCTTATCTCACTAGGTAGGGTCAGCTACATGAATCGCACGATATCAATGTGCTCTATTAATAACCAAGTTTTTAGGTATGTTGTTGACCAGGAGGTCCCGTTCAATAATCTCATTGAGCGTTCTTCTCATCCTTTCCCTGTCTTTTTTTATAGGACTCCAAACTATCTAATCTATCCTTTTCACTGAGGCTTCCAATAGTCTTCTCTTCACATGCCTGAATCACCTCAAGCGATATTCAACCATTTTCTTTTCGATTGGTGCCACACCTACTCTTGTTCTGATAATTTCATTTCGAATCTTATTTTTTCTTGTATGACCACATATCTATCTCAATATCCTCATTTTTGCTATCCTAACTTTATACTCTTGTTTTTCCTTTAACGCCCAACATTCACTACCATATAACATAGCTAGTCTCATAGCAATCCGATAAAATTTTTCCTTAAGTTTTTCACGTACCTTCTTGTTACAAATAAGTCTAGTAATCTTTCTTCATTTTAACCAACTAGCTTGTATTCTGTGCGAAATATCACTATCAATTTCACCATCCTCACGTATAATAGATCCTAGATATTTAAATTTTGACACTTAAGAAATGATTTGATCTCACATCTTCACCTCCAAATCACCATGCTCACGTATATCCATCTTGCTTGGACATGACGGGCTAAAGAAACAAAGTACACATATGTACTTCGCTAGAAATTAAGAGCGCCCACACAGAGAGTGTTTAAAGCCATGAGCGTGTGATCATTTTAATGACCTGCAATATAAATATCAGATACCACATGAAGCTACTTTTGAAGTATAGATTAATAAGATAACAAAGAGTTCAGGCATATATCGATTATCTCATTAAAGAATGATCAGAGATGAAAGAGATAAGCTGTTGAAAAGGATGAAGCCTGGTCCGAGACAGATCAAAACATGGGATTTGCTGAGAAACCCAGAATTCAAATCCCGAGCCAGGCGATATCCCTATCAACCCCAACCTCCCATAACTTGATTCATTATCTATGACAGCAACATGAAGAAGAAGAAGAAGATGATGGTGATGGAGAAGCAATGAGGAGGGTATATATACACACACATAGCCTTAGAATGCTGAGCTGGCAAAGGAAAGGAAAGGCATATATGCAGTTTCCCACAACAAAAACACCACCAGACCTTTGCTGTCTTGGGAGTTTTATGTGTTTGATGTTTGGTGTGACTCTCTCACACACGCATCTTATCCCTCACAGCGCCCCCAATTGGCGCGCGTGCACTTCACCGTCTTCTTCGACTTCATTCTTCTTTCTTACTTGCAGAGAACCAGTTGCCTTCTTACAGCCTAATTATTATCTGTGGGCTGCGCAAACAGTTACATACTACCTCCAGTCCTTACTATTACTATAATACCCAGGTAACTAACATGGGAAGATTAAGAAAGTTACTAAATTACTTTAAAGTATTTATATTTATCATTTTTCTCTAAACTAATTTTGTTCACTTATAAATTAATATATAATTTGATGATACTCATAAATATTTTAGAGAGACCGTGTAACATATACTATAAATAATTTAGTAACTTTCTTAATCTCTTTAAATTAATCAATCAAGTGGTTTATATATTAAGAATTGAAGGTAGTATCAAACAATAATGTGTATATCTTTTCGTGGTATTCAATTTGAGGATCAACACCAAGGGCTTGTTTGGTTTACGAAAAAGTAATAAATTGAGGGAAAAGAAATTATTGGAATAGAGTAAAAAAGGTGTTAGATTGTTTTATCACTTAGTAAGAAGATATTATGAAATTTTTGTCATTTAATTTTTATATGAATGATTCTTAATTCATATTTAAAATAGGAAAGGAATCCAAAGTTTTAAAATTGTGATAATTTGAAGAAAACGGCAAAAAAAAAAAAAACACCAGCAAATGAGCTGGCTGAAATCTGCAATGAAAATTCAATCCACTTTATTTGTAAGTCTCATACAAGGCTGAGTAATGGGCTACTAGTAGAACATATGTATCGGATGAAAATAAGTATGGACTAGCCCGTACTCGTGTGTAGTTCATATTTACCTATTAAAAGATGGGTGGACTAGCCCATAGTACACGTTAAAACAGGTTAGCCCATTTTTAATCTATAATATTCTTCCATGGAGTAGAAACAAGCTAGCTAAAGTTTAATGTGTAAATTTCATGCAAAATTATAGATTGGGCATTAAATTAGTTGAGGTAGTAATTTAAGGGTTTGTAGCCCAACCAAGATTGACCTGGGAGTAAACAAGCCTAGAACAATTTAATTAAGATATATAAAAATATCCATACTTGATTGTGAATAAAAGTAAATAAAAGATGCAATGTGCTTCCACTTATCTTAGGTTAACTATATTTCAATTTAAAATGTCAATAACAAAACATTATGAAACTTTTATCGTTTAATTTTTATATGAATGATTCTTGATCCATATTTAAAATAGGAAAGAAATCCAAAGTGTTAAAATTGTGTTAATTTAAAGAAAAGGACAAAAAAAAAAAACTATATCGCCAAATGAACTAATTGAACTCTACGTTATGAAAATTCAATCTACCTTATTTCGAGCCAACCCTTTTAAGCCCTTTTAAGTGAAGGGTTGAGCTTGTATTTTAGGTGGTTCAAAAAGAAATTGGGTTCAAAATAAAAGGCTAACCCGTTAGAGCCAAGGGCCAGTCCTTTTAAGACTACCTATTTTTTATTATTATCAATATATTTATAAAGTTATAAATTAGTCTTTTATGAACAAGTTTGAATTAGAAAAATATTTAGAAGAACCAATACTTAAACCAGACAATTGAAAAGAATTAGTGTCTTGGACTGGTGGAAGAACATATTCTTAGCATCAATTTTTAATTCTTTCAAGAATGACAATTGATATTCTTAGCATTCCAATCACTACAATAGCTAGTAAATCTTCCTTTACCATTGGTTCACGTCTTAACAAAGTGTAAAAATTTTCTTATTCAAACAAATGTTCAGGCTCTCATTTGTACTCATAACTACTGCAAAGTTTAATTTTAGATAGGGGAGATGAAGACACAAACCTTAATATTTTTATCACTAAAGAAAAGCTCACTTGTAGTGAAGAAAAATAAAATATTACTGATCTTGATGATACTGATAAAGATGAAGATAAAGATAATAATCATGTTGATGCTATTAATCTTTAACTGCTAGGTTTTTATCTTTCTGTTTTTCCTATTTCATTAGATTTTCATTTTTTTTGTTTTGGACAATAGTTTATATTTAATGTTTTTTTCTATACACCATTAGTTTATTTTACTAATATTTATAATTTAAATAAATTTTTTTAGAAGTTTTGTTGTTTTATTTTTTATTTTAAAAAATTGAAAAGAATTTAAATTTCAAAAAAATAACATAAAAGGGCCAACTTTTTTAACTCCTGAGCCGACATGTCCAAGAGCTAGGTTTTGATAATTAGATCATTTTAAGGTATGCGGGTTTTAAAAGGCTGGCCTTTTTAGGCCCTGGTCCTTTAAAGCCTAGTTGACCCTTATTGACAGTTCTACTTATTTGTATGCCACATACAGGATTGAGCAATGGGTGGGATAACTAACTAGTGTAAGGGGCTGCTTGTAGCTCACACACATATATATAGGTAAAAACGAGTAGGGGCTCGCGCATGCCCTTGCAGAGCCCCTTTTTACCTATTGAAAAATGCATTGGGTTGGTTTGTGGTATCGATTAAAATGATACATGTTAACTCATTTTTAATTTATATTATCTTTTCAAGAAGCAAGAATAGATGAGCCAGCTAAAGTCTTTTGTGAAAAATTCAAGGTACTAAAAATTGGGCCTATCATTGAATTAGTCGAAATAGTGGTTTAAGGGAGAATGGTCCCACTGGTTTGGAAACAAATAAGGTAAGAGTTTATTTAGAATGACTTATAAACAACTTTTTAATTTTGATTTATAGAAGACGAAGTAAGTATGTGAGAAGAATTTTGTCTCACCTTACATGAATGTACTTGTAAGTTCTTACAATCGTATCGATACTTTAATTGTGAAAAAAATATATGTTCCCAATTATCTTACGTTATATGTATTCCAATTTAAATTTTTAATAACAGAACATAATGAAATTTTTATCATTTAATTTTTGTATGAATGATTCTTGATTCATATATAAAACAGGAAAGGAATCCAAAGTACTAAATTGTGATAATTTGTAGAAAAGGACAAGAAAAACATGGATTAAGATATAAATTTCTCCCAAAAGTTTTTACTCAAAATTTTTTGGTGTTCAGTAGTTTTTTTAGTATAAATTTGCTCCGAAAGTTTGAAATCATATTAAAAAACTAACATTAAGTTTTAAAATAATGACATTAACGGTTAATAATCTCAAGTGTTAACAGTAGAAAGAATTATTGCTACAATTTTAAACTTTTAGAACAATTTTACACCCTAACCCCAAAAAATGTTAGAAATTGGGCGGCCTGAATTCTACAGTAAAAATTCAATACACTTTATTTGTCATTATGGAACCTCTCCTCTTCTTTCCCATCCTTTTCTCCCCTTTTCTAATCTTCACCATTAATTACATCTATGGCTATAAAGAACACACTTATTGCAGTAATGTCGTTTTGCTGATGAGTTTTCAAATCACTTGAGGGTCTGTCGGGTACGATGGAATTGAAGTATATTGAATTAGGATTGGAACTGGCTTCTACTTAAAATGTTGGTTTGGTAGGATGGAATTGAAGAGTGTTTCAAGGGATCATACGTTTCACATCCTGTATGTGATGACGACAAGGAAAAGCAAGAGGCAACGACACACCGGAGAAGATGATGCAGTCGGCATATCCGAGCTCACCAGAATAAACCCTCATAAGTAACACCTTTTTTCCCCATCGATGAACTTATCATAAGCGCGGAAACAAGAACTCGCCTACAGACCTTTTCATTACTAAACTTCACCCTCGGGTTCACAGCCATGACCAGCTTTAGTAGCTGGGGCCCACGGTGGCCAACTGTGTCAGCTATTCACACAAGGACAATTTAATTTTTTTACATTATAAATACATATATAAAATAAAAAACATCATAGTTCCATGTACATATCAAACGTTTTTAGAGCTCTCTTTCGTGAGTCCATCTCTATTTCCACCTCCACGTCCAGCATGCCTCCAACTCTCCAAGGAATATTCGTACGCAAATTTTATGAAGGCCTTTCAAGTTGAATGTGAGGAATCCATTTGTCCCTGTCAATTTCTGCACCCAAGATCGGCTCACGCTGGCCCTATACCTATGAATGTGACTTTGATACAAACCTTGAGTGATGATAAGCAATCAAATTTCCCACAAACTGGAAGTGGAAACGGAGTATCAGATACAAAACATTGCCCAGAAAATTGTGGGAAAGCATAATTCCCTCTATTACAGATGCAAATATGGAATTTAGGCAAACAATCAAGAGTTTAGCAGCGAAAAAAAGACACACAAGGTACTCTACAATCATTTTGATCCAAATGCAAATGACAACTTTGGTCGTGATTTGTTTTTGCCCAACAGCTTCATTTGGTTTGAACGTTCTTGCTCCTCCTCCTGTTTCTTCCTTCGCATGGCTTCTTCTTTTTGTCTCTGGAGCTCTTCTAACTCTCTATATCGTTCCTCCTCTCTCCTCTGCTGCTCTAAAGCTTCCCTTCTCTGAGCCTCTTCAACCTTCCTCCGGTTCTCTTCAAGCATCCTTTCAAGCTCTTCCTTCTCTTTCCGAGCTTGCTCCTGCAGGTCAAGTTAAGTTATCCAACTTCCCAGGGGTAAAAGTAACCAGTTTTTTGAATGGACAAATTACTTAAAATTGCACGATTATAATAATCTTAATAACATTCCCAAGTAAAAACCAAGGTTAAAAAAAAAAAAAAAAAAAAAACACCAGCAGCCCTGAACTTCTATCATACCAAAAGAGATCAAAATATTCACGGCCATTACACCAGATCAAAGTATTGAGAATAACGTGAAGTCAATACCTCCTTCCGCCTAGCCTCAATAAGAGCAGCTTCCTTTTCTTTCTCAAGTTGAGCTGCAACTTCATCAACTAGTCTCTTTCTTCCCTCTTCCAACCGTCTTTGAATCTCTACCAAAATTTCTTCAGATTTCAAGCTCTCTTCAACTCTCCTACGAATTGCATCTTCCACTCTCTTGGCAGTCTCTTCTTCAATTAGCTTCAATTCTGCTTCCTGTTGCCGCCTGTGAATACATGATAAAATGTTAAGCGGAAAAGTGGCCACTAAAGTGAGGGAGAATGTTACATATGCAAATCCAATGTCCTTGGTCATGGACAATGGGAAAATAACTTGGACGACTAAAATTGAACAAAAGGATGGACAAAAAAAAAAAACTTGAACAGACATATCTGCTTCATTCTAACCCCTTCTCATCCTTTTCTAACCTACTTACAGAGAACCATAATCATTGGCAAACAAACCTTCATGATGACAAAGGCACTAAAAGATGCTTATGCTTTTAAGTCATACCTCTATTGAATCCTGATCCAAACAAATGAGTACCAAAACTGGTGAACAGTAGATAAATGAGGCAGCCAATTTGATCATCAAACATAACAAGTTGAATTATAGCAGTACCTTCCTTCAGATAAGCCTGTGAAGAAGACATTCAAGTAACCTGCTGCAGTTTTAAACTAATCACGGCAAATACTTCAATTCTTTTACTAACATCTTTGAGATGAAAGAAACTAGTTGAAATACGGCTCAACTTTTATTTTAAATTAGGTCCTAAAACATCTAAGCAATTACAAAACCATGTTTACCATGGATTGGGGGGGGGGGGGAAGAGTGGAAAAATTCTCTAGATCGAAAACTTTGCGTTAAGTCATACCTAAATAACTAATGACAAAGTAGCAAATACATGCTATAAAAACTTTCAAACCAAAACCAGCCTGATAAGAACATTGAATTCAGGGACCATCAACCCCATAACATGACGGATAGACTTTCTGAATGGGTCAGGTTAAGCTTTCTAACAAGATGTCGGAGTACAAAATGAATCACAAGTAAAGAAGGACTCGACTCCTTGCCACTGCCTCCTTTTCTTCTACTTAATAACATTTATATATGTTCATTAAATTTCATGAGATCTGTCTTAATTGTAAAGAAAAAGTGACACCCTTCGGCTAGTACCTTAAAAGTGATGGATAAAACAAGTGATCACATTTCACGAGAATACAAAGCCAAAGACATGAACGAATTTTAAGATTAATTACTGAATAACTTTGGAATTTCCTTGGACTCAAAGAAGATCTATGAGGTTAACGAACAGAGAACACGCTTCAAAGCGTTAAAAGACTGCAGGTAACCTCAAAGGCTATCCCTCGTACACATGAATAAAGAATGAAGGCAAATTGTATATCAAGAAACCAGTAATAAACTGAAGAGTTGCTTAAATATTATGCAAAACAAGATCCAGATCTTGTATAAAAACAAATAACAGATAATAACAAAATGCCAAAGCCTAAAAGAAAGTTTCTACTTCCGTGAATTAAATCCAATCTGGACAAAAATAAAGCATAACTTATTGGCTATGAGATTCAATGCATGATTAGATTAGACCACGGGAAAGAAGGGTATGAGTACACTGTATGCTTATACCCAAAATAGGGAGCAGCAGCTGACTAGCTGGTAATTTTACACGAAATCTAAATCACCAAAGAACAGGGCATCATAGGCCAAGGTTTTACCATTATAAATTTCCTCTCCAAATTTCCCAGATAGTTATTGATCATCATAAAATTGAAAGATCAAGCAATAACATATTGGTTATCCTGAGAGACTAAGATTTCTAATTAAATAAAATGTAAACTCATGCCAAATTGCTAAGCAACTAAACCAGAAGATCATGGTTTCCATCTTAAAGAATAAAAGAAAGAAAAATGAAAAAAAAAAGAGGCAATTAATACCTTTTCTTCTCTTCTTCTTCTTTCCTCTGTTTTTCAATGGCAGTTTTGCGCTCTACCAAACCAAGACTCGAACTGGAAGATCTACGAGTAGGAGACAATGAGGAACTCTTACTTCTGTGTCTTCTGTATCGTTTTGGAGTCGGAGAACGACTTTTATGACGTCTTGGAGTTATAGAACGGCTTCTGTGACGTCGTGGGGAACTAGAACGACTTTTCCGCCTGTATGATGATGCAGATGATCTTAAGCAACAAGCCACAGTCCATGGCAACTACTAAACGTCATTTAGGGGTATATATAAAGCCTGCCCACCATCTAGCGCACTAAATACAGAGTTACCTTCATCAATTGCTAAGAAAAACCAGTGTGCTCCATCTT